CTTGCATGGTCCTGCCCTTGCGGGCTGCTTGAGGAAAGCAGGTGTGACAGAGGCCGTGTACACTGCAGCTCTATGCATGGACATGGTCCAGAGAGTCAATTGTTGGGAATCGGGCCACTTGCTTACACATGTGTTCTAAGAGTACCCTTGTGTCTTAGTTAGCTGCTATGAAATACCATGACCAAAAAGCAAACTGCAAAGGAAAGGGCTTATTTAGCTTATACTTCCTGGTCATAATCAATCAATAAAGGATGTCAGGATAGGAAGTCAAATAGGGCAGGACCCTGGAGGCAGGAGCTGATGCAGAGGTCATAAAGGGATGTCACTTACTCGCTTACTTCCCCTGGCTTGCTCAGCATGCTTTCTTATAAAAGCCAGGACCACCAGCCCAGAGATGACACAACGCACAATGGATAAGACCTTTCCCCATTGATCACTGATTGAGAAAATGCCTTACAGCTGGATCTTATAGAAGCATTTCCTCAACTGGGGCTCCTTCCTCTCTGATGACTCCAGAGTATATCAGGTTGATTCAAAACAAGTCAGTATACCTTGTTTCCCTGAATGACTTTGTTTTGTTTAAATTTTTACTTTAAATTCTTTATGACAATGTTGTTGTTGTTGTTGTTGGTGGTGGTGGTGGTGGTGTGTGTGTGTGTGTGTGTGTGTGTGTGTGTGTGTGTACACATGTGCTGTGGCCTGTATGTAAAGGTAAAAGGTCAATTTGAAGGAGGTGTTTTTCTACTCATCATGTGGGTTCTTGGATTGAATTCATGTTGCTAGGCTTTACCTGTGCTGAGCCATCTCAGTGGCCCTGGCTTTCTTTTATTTAACTATTTGGGGCAACCAGTCTGAGAAAGCTCTCTAAATCAGCAGGGATGACCTGCATACTTCACTTACCCCACCAAAGCCAAGAAACAGAATTCTCATTTTTTGAGCACGTTTCTGCTGGAGGAACCACAATGGGTTCTCGAAGGGATGCCACATATGAAAGGTGTGGCCCCTAGCCATCAGCTTCAGAACAACACTGAGGTACACATGGAAAGTATGCGATGACAGAACCTTTGTCTCTGCTCTAGAGTCCTCTTCTGAGCCTGGACTCGTCATCTTAAACAGACAGCGCTTCCTTTTTTTTTTTTTTTTTGGACTTTACTGTGGAGACTTCATGAGGAAGGACACTTTAAAATGTTACAGAAAAGAAATGTTTGCGGGTGGGTGTCTCTTATGTTTTTAATCAAATAGTGTGATGGATGGATGCTTCAGTGTCTTTCCAGGCAAAGTAGCTTGGTGCTTTGATTTTTAAAGAGTAACACTAAGCACTTAATTCTGTGTTGGACTCACTGGTGGTTTGAAAAGAAATGCTTACATAGAAGCTAAGGCACCTAGTGACTTTCAAAAATCATGTGACATCTAGGAACAATCCAAGGCAAGTCCTGGGAGCAGCACCATTGAGAGATAATGGAGATTGCATGGATTACAACCTTTCAGTGGCAAATGCAAGGACAGCACTTATCACAACGTGTGCTACATTTCAAGTGTTCAATTAAATGTAATTATTAAAACATAGCCAGCCATCTTTAGCAAAATACATAGAAACTAACTAGACTAACACATTACAAAAATTAGTGGTGGATCTGTTTCTTCCATGAGATTAAATTTCTAATTAACTAAACAACATAGTGAACCAAATCCATTAGCTCAGAAAAAAAGATTAAGCCAGGTGTAACAGCACAAACATGTCATCTCAGAATGTGGAGGCAGGGGGATTAAAATAAAGCCAGCAATTCCCCTATCTTTATTTTGGTACAATATAATGTTACTATCAATTGTTTCAATTTCATCCTTCCCTACATATAAGACCCTGTCTCAAAAAAAATATAAAAAGAAAACCTTACTTGTGTTTGTGCAGCTGTTATGACACGAATTAGCAAGCAGGATCCACACCTAGGTCTTCTGTTTCTGAGAATGGAGGTGTGGTTTAACGCCACATGCGTTCTGCTCTCCGTGTGACTGACACAGGAAGTTCATTAGACTTCATGTATTTGTCCTACCAAAATCCTGAGATAGAAACTGGACTAGCTGGGGATAAGCAGGTAATGAAACATATACTAAACTTTTCTCACAAATGTGAAAAGACCGAGAATTGCTTGGCCCTGCCACTATTATCAGGTCTTCTCATTTAGCGGTGAGAACAGTCTCTCCCACGGTTAACCCTTGGTATGGAGGAAAGAGTACACTTTATTGAAGAGACTCCATTGTCATCATGTCACACTGGCTGAGACTTCAGGAGTGTCAAGATGTTCTTGGAGCTGGCTTAATGGGTCTCTTCTAAAAGTACTAAAAGTATGTATGCATTGTTTTTAAATATCCTTTTTCAGAAGGCCAAGAAGTAGAAGAAAAGAGAGGTTGAAATAAGGATCACTTTGTCTTGTTAACTGTGTCGGCATAACAACTCCCTTAAAAGGATGGTTGAGAGCCTGGACCCTAACAGTCTCCCTCAAGCCCTTGTGATATTTTAGCAAAACTAGAATCTAAATTAATGTAGAAGACAGCTTTACTGACACATTTTTGTTGCCTTTGCTTTATATAGAAGCCCTTCTACAAGAAGCAGTCACACTGGGCTTACTCCCCATTCTGACAAGGGTGTTCAGGTTCATATGTAGAGTGACATTCTCAGTTTTTCTGTATGGACACCCCAGACACATTTTTTCTCTCAAAATGGTTCTTATCTCTGTAAGTGATGAATGAAAGCATTTAGGGAAGGATCAAAAGGGGGTTGTAAGCTTGCTTCCTAGAGTGTTTCTTACAGAATGTTTCTTCAATAAAGTAGGACTCTGCAGCCTTCTAAACAAACAGTGGTCCAGTCAACTCATCAGTCCTTCAGGCCCAAACCAAAAGTTAATTGATGACTTTTCTTACAGACAATAAAATGCAATGATCCACTAAGCCTGGCTGAATCGAGTATCAGTTTTTCCTCTCACCTCCAAAAGCATCCTTCGATAAAAGACCCATGATAAATGATGCAGTTGTTAGCATTTTTCTTCTACATTGGTGACATGTTAATCTTCTGTGATGGGGCACAACAGGCTATTACAGGAGAGAGGATCAAGGATTCTTACCTTTCAGCATAGGCAAGACAGGGGAGAACTAGAGAAGACTGTATCAGCCACAAGACCAGACCAGGCACTGCAAACATACAGCTTCCACCTTTAAATCCTTTCGAAAATTTTATAGCAAACTTTTCCATTCACCGCTGGAAAAGGTGGCCTCTGCAAACCGAATGGTAGTCTAAATAGTACAATAGTTTTTCATGGTGTAAGAGCTGCAGGCAGGGCCCACCTGAGTTTTGTCTGCACTGTTAAATGTGTTTTCCGCCACTTAAGTTTAGACAGTCTACAAAGAGACTGACTAGGAAATTGAGTCATGGTTGGCGGTATCTGCCAATTCTCTCAATATTGGTGTAAATATTGTTGGGATGCTGAATTCAAGTTCTCCAGAATCTGAGTGTTTACCCTTTCCTAACCAAAGCAGACCTTTCATTTCATGAGTTCAACATGGCTCTCTATTTGACGAATGGGGAAGGGGAAGGCATCATAGATTTGTCCAGATGAATTAGTGAGAAGTTTAAATCATAGGCTTTCCTTTTCATTATAGTTAGCTCAGAAATTATAGAGATAGGAAGGATATAAATGAATGAAGGAGAAAATGAAAGAAAGATAAAGAAAAGAAGAAGCAAAAACAAGAAGAAGAGGAGAAGGAAGATGAGGTATAAGGAGGAGGAGGAGGAATAAGTTGTAGGGGAGGAGACAACTTTTCACTGATACTTAGTGCTTGTGAGTAGAAGAGGGTACTAGTGATGAATTTTCCAGTAACATCTCATTTTGTGCTCTCAAAAATCACTTCTGGTATGAATTTGGTCTCACTTATAAAGAAAAAAAGAGAAAAAAGAGACAAAAAGTTAGTTTTGAAAAGTTTCTTTTCATTCACTTCTGGAAAGGTGTTTGAAAGCGTAGTGTAAAATGGTAGCCAGTCAGGTTCTCTCTGATTCTCCTTCACACCTGTTGGGGACCCCACTTTCCTAGCCTAGGTAGTTAAGCCTTCAACAGTTTCCTTCTGGTAACTCAGTCAGAGAGGCTGCCCTGTTCAAGGGGCAAAGACTACACACTTCTTCCTTCACCTGTGAGGAACACTGGGTTACAGGACTCTCATTCCCCAGCCTGAACACGATATTCACTGAACCCATCAAGAATTAAGGTGGGGGTTTTAAAGATATTTCCACATAGCATTATGGGTTTCATAGTAGGCAGATACCCGCTTTTGCTTTTTTATGTGTATCATTGAGTATGTGAAAGGTCACAGACACAACAATTTCTAGGAGGGATAGAAAGGTAATTACCTCCATGTAGCACTCACAAAGGAAGCTCTCCCTTTAAGGGAAGTCTTAAAGAGAAAGGATGGTGTTAGTGAGCAATAAAGACCTGTGTGTCTCATGGCTCTCATCCCAGCATTCCGCAGTGACCTGTCTTCCCTATACTGAATGCTTTCTCTAGCATCCCTGTTCACACCGTACATAGAACTCAGACTATATGTTAGACTGCATGTGTCCCTTTTCTTACTATTTCTTTCCACTGCATCTAGCATGAAATGACGAGCTGCCTAATAGAGTTACAGAGCATACACCTGTAATGGAGCGAGATCAAAACGGGACACCTAAGAAGTCATTCCAATAATCCTTGAAAGCAGACACAGCCCTGAGCCCACAGACCTGAGCCCATGAATGAAGTGGTGGCCAGGTGGGAGTACCAACCCAGAAAGACGACAGTTGGAGTCAAATGTGTCCATTCAACCAACTAAGGGACCACTCTCTAGGACAAAAAAGTCAATAAAGCACCAACCATATACAAATACCAGAAGAGTTCCTCTAACATGCTTATCTCCTCTCTGTTCCAGTGATAGCAAGAAACTTGTTTCCACTTCCTTTCACACAGCCATATACTCACTCTGTCAGGAGCCAGAAGCCTTGGACGGTCTCTCCAGAAGTCTGTGTAATATGCCTGCTCAGGTCTTCCACTGCTGTCTCAATGGCCCCTGGCTGAGAGAGAGAAGAAATCATTTCATTTAGAGAAGACTGAACACACTCTCTGCTTTTGATTAGTTAGAATGGCCTCCTCCTCCTCCTCCTCCTCCCTCTCTTCCTCCTCCTCCTCCTCCTCCCGCTCCTCCTCCAGGAGACTAAGCCTGGTTCTTGCGTTTGCATATCCTGTTTCAGTGAATGGCAGATAACACTGTTTTAATGCTACCTCTATGGTATATGCCAAAAGTATTCTAGGTCTTATCATCTCAAACCCTGTGTTTTCTCACAGAAATGAAAATAGGCAATTTTAGAAGAACACTTCTTCCAGTGAAATAGATTTATCAGGAAGTTCAAAGCAGCTAACAATATGTATAAGTATATATCTTTTTTAAAAATCTTCCCAGATTCCAAGAGGACATGTTAGTAAAACTCGAAATTTAACTTCCTTCCAATGCTCTGACCATCAGTGAGGCTAACTCTGCAGCTCAACTCTCATTCTCTCTCTCTCTCTCTCTCTCTCTCTCTCTCTCTCTCTCTCTCTCTCTCTCTCTCAATCTCTCTCTCTCTCTCTCTCTCTCTCTCTCTCTCTCTCTCTCTCTCTCTCTCCTTAGTGTCTTAACTTTCACAAAACAAGTGTAACCCACATCTGGACCTAGTTCTACTTGGACACAGATTGACACTTCATGCTTGCTGAAGGCTACGTGTCATCAAATCACCAACTTCTAGGGTTTCCATCAAATATACCTGGCACTGCTGCCAGAGAAATTTCTACTGATGTCTCTCATTTCCAGGAACACTGCAGGCAGTCAGACTGTCCTAGAGGGAAATTTCTGTAACCTCCCAGACACTCTTCCTTTGAACAACCTCAATCCCTCTATGGTATTCTGATTTTTCCTGGGCCCACTTTTCAGTCTATAAAATAAACTGCTCTCTTTCATGACTCAATATTGCTATTTTTCTCATAGTTTCTTGACATAATTTTAGCTTCACAAATGTAACTCAGTAGCGTAACTAATACTATTCAGAAAAAAGTAAGTAGAATCAGAAAGTAATTAAATAACCCTAAAATAGCATTTTGTTGAATATTTTTATGCCACTCAGTTCACCAAAAATATGTGAGATGAATATAATGCTGTATAAATTTTTAAAACCTTACTATCTTCCATACCAAAAGCAATATCCAAATCTGTCTAAATGAAGAATGGTCAATATTTGATCCAGATATACCTCCATGATCAGATATTCTTGCATATGTTCAAAATGGCATGGCTAAGGAACTCATTGCAGCCTTGTTTGTAGAGTGATAAATGAGGAATAATACACAAATGCTAATCAAAAGGGTGCTGTGTTATAGAATACGTTCAGATGATGTAATATGATGAAGGTATAGGAGTAATAGAGTATTCTGATGAACGAAAAGAAAAAAATAAAACAGTAGAGGGTAAGGTAGATCACCTTCCTTATGCTGAAATATGTGGAGTAAGTATATTCCTGTTTACTGACACACAGCTAAAGAAAGCATAAAAAGGTCTATGAAATATATTGATATTGTTTTCTGTAGGGTGGGAAAGCATGAGATGGAAATAGCACATGGAAGCAACGCCTTTTTGTATGCCTTTTCAAAAGCTAAACACTGAAAGTTAGTGTGTTATTTATGGAATGCTTTGATACTCTCTACAGTTTTGTCAATTTTCTCATTGTCTGCACCGTTCTGATTTTACAGTACGAACATTGCCCGTGCCCTTTTTTGGAATATGGAACAAAATGCAGCCCAACAGAGAAATGTGCTTCCTCCAATTTTATTATTGTTAACTAATAACACTTACTACATTTAATAATTTCATAATCTAATAATTTAAAACAAAAATATTAAGATATAGAGGTACTTCATTCTTAGATATCAAAGTTTAATCTCAGTCACCCTTGTGGCTCTCTGGAATCCATGGTAAGTCATCATGTTGCTCTTCATTAGTTTGTTAGATTGTTTTGATAATAATTACTGTAAGTAACTACTGGGAGATACCATGAGACCCTGTACATTAAACAGTAACAAACACTGAATAACGGAAGGATTTACCATAATTCTCAATATTGCTTATGTTAAATAAAAGGGCAGTTGCCATAGTAGGATCAAATACTTAATGCAGTTACATACTTACCTCTGAGACTATAGTCTAACACAAATAAGGAAACTATGATCAAATACATCATCTTATACAACATAGTAACTCCACTGTCTCTTACATTCTAGCCCTGAGTAGTTCCAAGCAAAACAAACCTCCTTGGGGAATTCCAAAGATTTGCATGTTTGTTCTCTTGTATTTCAATGATCTAGACTAGCTCAGGGCCAATGCTGACCCAAAAGACACCCTTGACTTTGTCAATGTTTTCCATTTAATAAGCTCCGTGTGTACAGAAAAAAGAAACAGTGGTTCAGGAAAGGCTGATCTTAGAGGCTTTGGCTCTCACATTTCTTCTGTGGCTACTATGATGGCTAGACAGAGGCCACTTTGCAATGAACACAGAAGTAAGAAAATTAGCTCAATTGGCCATGCTCTCTAAAGGAAAATTTCTATTTCCTTGAAAAAAGTGATGAAAATTCACCTTATCACTTCATTGCTGTGGTTCTGCTCTCGCAAAAGAACAAATCATCTTTACAACAGTCCTCAAGGGGTCTCATACAACAGCAGCAGAACAGCCTTGTACCCAGTGAGATGTTTATTTCCTAAACTAAATGGAAGCTCACAAGGCAATAACAATAAAACTAATAAATGTATTTGTTCCTAATGTGAGGGCAAGTCACCGGGAGCCCTCTAGCAAGAGAAGAGGAAAAGAGAGAGAGTATGAAAGCCAAATTAGTGTCATGGAGGCAATGACATCTCACTACACAATGGGACGTCCTGAACCTGCTTATTAAAGTCTCGCTGCTCACAATAGAACACAGGCTATAAAAAGGCCATGGGGAACCATTAATTAAATATTAAAAGATCAAATAGTTTTAGCCCCATTAGTTTGTATGTAATTTACATTCTCTAGTATAAATTTAGAGATAATTCTCCATCTCGAATCGCTTTCAACTTTCTGATAAAGTATCTGCAAATACAGTGCCCTACGGGGAGTTTAAAAATATCTTTCTCCATGTGGGCTAGGCATTGTTCTTTTCATAAAAAGTTGCTTTTGAACATCAGTCTCCACAACCAAGATGATTATCATAATATACCTCAAGTTATTAGCAGTGAGGGATACTTTTGTTCGGAGAAGGCATGAGGCCTTTTTTAGATATATCTAAGCAATAATAGCAGGCACGCTACAACAAGATAAAAGGGTTACAAGTGGACTGAGAGCAAAGGCTTTCGACTTTCACTTCTGGGACCTCTCATTCATGTCCCATAGTCAGTGCAGCAACAGTATCAGGAGTCCTGCATTGCAGGTATGCTTCTCGGTCCTGGCATGATCCCAGGGATGCTGGTTATTATTATTATTATTATTATTATTATTATTATTATTATTATTTATTATTATTATTCCTGGACAAGGAATAATTCCTTGAGATACTTTAGGATGTTCCCCGAATATTCCCTATGGTCCATTGTCTCTGAGAAGAACTACCTTAAATTGAGCCAGAGAGGCATAATTTTCACATATTATAATAATATGACCAGCAAACCACATTAGGGGTTTAAGAAATCAATAACTTATTTTATGATCTAGTACTTAGGTGTGTAATATAATATCTAATATTATGATGCTAAAATTACCACTTATTTGTCAAGAATTCCTATTTCCATATTAGTTACTTCTTTGCAAATCCCTCTTGAAACTCATAGAATTGATCATTCTTCTCCTTATATCCTTGGATATCAATTCCTGGCATCCAAAAAAACTGTGTGTCATGCCATCACAGAAAGCCAATGAATATCTTTCATTCCCAGATCTAGGGTATGAACAGAAAACAGTCTAAATGTTCTGTTAAAGTATTATATATCCCCAATGTGGGATGCTATAGAACTAATTTAAAAAATGATTTCACTAAAGTATTGTGGTCATATGAAATACTTAGCATATAACTCTAGTTGCATACAGTAATTATATATGAAAAACAAAAAAAGATCCATCCACAAATGAATATGAGCACTTGCAATATATATATATATATATATATATATATATATATATTTATATATTTTGGTTTTCTGAGACAGGGTTTCTCTGTGTTGTTTTGAGGCTGTCCTGGAACCTGCTCTGTAGACCAGGCTGGTCTCGAACTCACAGAGATCTTCCTGCCTCTGCCTCCCGAGTGCTGGGATTAAAGGTATGTGCCACCAATGCCCGGTGTGCAATACATTTTTGTAGTTACTATTGAACAGTGAGATTACAGTGACTTTTATTTTATGTATCTATAGTTTCTAAGTTTTTATCAACAAATTACTTCTTGGGTGATGACCCTAAAATCTTTTAATCCTTTAGCAACAAATTCTTCAGCTCATTCACTCAGTGATCTTCTCAATTTGCAATGCATGTACTTTAAATTCTTAGCCTAGCTGAAGTTGATTTTCCTGTGATTGTGGTAGGGAATCACAGTACTACAAATGTGTAGCCAGGAAAGTGGTTCTAACCCTCTGTTTGCTGTTTAGTAGACTCTTGGAAAAGTAAAATCTCACTCCCTATTGTGTTACTGAAAATGAGTAACTTGAACAGCAAGAGAGCATCAGCATTGGCAGGAAGTTTATAGAAACGCAGAATCTAATCTGTTCACCAGCTGGACCATGACATCTGAGATCTCACTTCATATCTAAGAAGTCATCACTTTATGATGACTCTCACACATCTGAAATTTCAAGTATTGTGGTCTTACTTAATTATTCCTTGAGAAAGTCGACCAGCTTCCTCTTTACTGCTACAGACCCTTGTGCCAACATTTATATCTCACCCTAGAGATCATGGTGAGGTCACAGGCACCTTGTTGCCATTTTTATAACAATTTATAGAATTGTGAACACCAGTAAAAGTAAGAGAGGAGGTACTGAAAATCACAATGTTTGAAATGTTTATTATAGATGTGTCATATACTCTATGAATATTGACAAAGTTCATTTAGGGCTCTTTACAAAGCTTACACTTTATTTATACATTGCAGGTGACTAAATTAAGACTCACAAATGTGCACATGTGTGTGGGCACACACACACACACACACTTCTGTTTAATAATCAAAGCATCTTGGATTTGATTTACAACCTAGTAAAACTAGATCATTCTTTGATTTATTTTTAAAAATGTTCATCCCAGAATATAAAGGTAATCAAACAAAAAAAATCCCTGTGCTAAGTGTGGAATACTTCCTACTGAAATTTTGGTTAGGGGGTTCCCAGAAACCTACAAAACAACAGAGGCCATTACTCTTGGTCACCTATAAGAACTTGATGGTAAGACCTTATGTATTGCTGAAAGCTAACCAAGCTAATACTGACTTTGAAACTTGTTCCTTGTTGGGTAGCTTCTACAGAACTAGAAGGTGCTTTGTAGACTGACAGGGAAGACAACCCATCAATAGTATTGTTCAGCTGTGAACCCTGTGAGCTACTATAATGACTAGACTATGCTTCTTTTGCCTGCCTCACTATGATGTATAAAGCCACAATTTTTAAAAGAAGCTGTGAATATCGTATGATACATATAATAGATTTGGGACTGTGTCAGCTTATCTAAATAAGAACTACATGGTTTAGCTTTGCTTTCCCTGTTTGTTTCCAAATGGAAGTTAGCCACAGAGACATCCATATTAATTTCAAATTGGAGGACATGAAACCAGCTTCATTATTTGCTGAAGATCAATTCAGGTCACTATGCACTATGCACGGTCAAGGAAATTACTGCCCTGGCTCATTTGCTGGCAAGTGGCAGCATGAATACCAACATTTCCTTCCATTGCTGTTGACTTCACCCTAAGAGTCTCCCATGCCTGATGCACTGGCAAAGGCACAGCTTCTAAATGTGACTTGCCATTAAGATTATAGTTGGTGGTAGAGGTTACTTTTTCCTCATAGGCTCTACTTTGCCAAGAGGAATTTTAGTTGTGCCATGAAGATATTCCCTGTTCCTACTCTAGAGAGCCAACTACTGTACCCTTGCCAACTTCAAGACTACCCTCACAAGCAACAAAAAGAGCTTTGCATAGACTTTTCAGCCTGCTTTCACAGCTGCACCAGCTCCCCTCTCTGGGCCCCTATTTTGCACCACTGCTCTGTATTTTCTCATCAAACCCCATCACCATCCATATCAAGATACCCAAACTCCAAAGGATGCTTACATTTCCTTCTGCAGCTCCATCTCAACTTAACTTTGCATATTCAATAAAGTTCACATATTTTGGAAAACAGACCATATGCTTGACATATGCAAAAACACTCACACAAACACAGATAGTATAGCACCTACCAAAGTGCCTTGCACATAGGAGTCTACGTAATGTTTAAACACACACATATGCATATACACTCACACATTCAGTTGCTTTAGTTAGAACTTTATCTTAAACAAAGGTATATATCTTTAAAGCCCCCAAATCAGGATTCATTAAAGTTTTGTAAATAGCCTCAAATTGTTGACCTCCACTTACTTATGATATTGAGATGAAAAATACATTTTGAAGAGCAAGAGAGATGGCTCTTCAGATAAAAGTATTTGCTACACAAATCAGAGAACCTAAGTGTGGTCTCCAGAAACCACACAGAAATCTCAGTACTGGTGGGGGTGGGGGTGGGGACACATATGTAACTCCAGCACTTCTACTGTGAGGTGGGAGGTCAAGACAGGAGAATTGGCCAGAAACCTTCAAGCTAGCTGGCCTGGAATATGAACCAGAGTAGAGGCAAACCCAACAAGAAAGAACCTGTCTCAAAGTGGAAAGCCAGAATCAACTTCCAAAAGTTGTCCTTTGCCCTGGTATACAACACTCTCACACATAAAGAAAGGAAGGGAGGAGGAGGGAGGGAGGGAGGAGTGAGGGAGGGAGGGAGGAGGGAGGGAGGGAGGGAGGGAGGGAGAGAGGGACAGAGGGACAGAGCAGGGACAGAGGGAGGGAGGGAATGCTATTTTTCAACAAAAAGGTGTCCCATGTATTCATGAGAACTGTTTTTGTTGCCATAGTTCACATTCTCCCAATTTTTCTCCCATAGATTATGACTACTATAACAATAAGAACTTTGGAGGATTACAAAAGATAAGTAAACATAAAAATAAAAAATCGAAACTGCAAAGACATAAGAAATCCAGGAAGTACTTCGCATGTGATCTAAATGCTAACAACTTAATACAGCATCCTTTACCGCAGGACCACAGCCTCATCCTCATCTATTTGCTTTTCTCATCAGAGCCCTATGCTGTGGTTGCAAACTGAGAGTTTCAAGCCCTTGCTGCCATGATACAACAGCAGCATCCTAGTATCCATCCTGAGATTCAGCTTAGCTTCAGCAGCACTTTCCACCTCACAATCTCTTTTTTAAACAATGAGTTCACAGCTATATCATCCAGCTACCATGTTAGAGATTCTCTAGCCATTAAACATTCATTCTCTGAGGCCAGATTTTGTATCAGTGGAGGACCATACACACAAATGTATAGAGGAACTGTATCTCTTTGAGGCTGTCTGAGAGACAGAAACCAGAAACCTGGCTTGTCTGAAGTCTACCTTTCATCAGTACAATGGGTACAGGGACAACTCCATGAGCATTGCAGCCACTATTGCAAAAAGTTTATAAAATGTGTAACTCTTGGGATAATGAAGTATAGAAAAACTAGAAAGATTTCAAAAAAAAATTTGAACAGTATTTAAAATCGTGACTTTACCCTGGTAGCAAAGTACTTCCGTGAAGCATAAGGCTGGTGATAAGGATTGGGGTAAAGTGTCGATGTAGTCACACTCGGTTGTCTTGAAATCTGCCTTGGTCCTGGTTTCTTGCCTGAATCCCTGTCATTCATGGACAAGTGGTCGGTCTCAGAGGGTGGATCGTCTCCCTCTTGCTTCAGAGACACTGGCTGGAATCCTTCAAAGCTCCCAATTGTTGACATTTTTAGCCTAATGCAAACATACAAAAAGAAACAATTTTTTCATTAGTGGATAAAGCACATCATCTGCCACCTGGCTATGGAAAAAGAGGTTATAATAAAAGATCTATAGCAGAAGATCCTCCCTAAAGGGAAACAGCCACACTTTGATCAAACAGAAGCACCAATGGATAGTGCAGGGACACAGACGTCTAAATGCCATCTTATACAGGGCCTTCACAAGAGGAGAGAAGTAGGGACTCTCAGGACACAGAAAGGGAGCCTGTGAGTCACTCCACTCCCTCAAGATTAACACCAGAGCATAAACTGAACCAGGGAAATGTAGCTTGAAATTACTGCCAGGTAATTCCTCTTTGTGATTTCCTGGCATTTTTGTCTAAAACTCTGTCTAGCCTTGTTTATATTTAAGAGTGAAAAACAATGATAATATAGCTCCCTATCAGCTCCAGGGATTGGTACAAGGACATGTGGTGGTCTGAGTAAGAATGACCCCTATAGGCTCATGTATTTGAATGCTTAGTCATCAGGGAATGGTGTTGCCTGAAAAGGATTAGGGGGTGTGGCCTTGTTGGAATAAGCATGGCTTTGCTGGACAAAGCGTGTCACTATAGGGTGGGCTTTGTGGTTTCAAAAAGCCCAAGCCAGGCCCAGTGTCTCTCTCTTTCTCTCTCTTCCTGCTGCCTGTGGATCCAGATGTTCAACTCTCAGCTACTTCTCCAGCACCATGTCTGCCTGTGGGCCCCCATGTTGCCCAACATGATGGGAACGAACTAAGCCTCTGAAACTGTAAGCCAGCCCCAAGTAAACGGAGCCTTTTATAATGGTTGCTGTGGTCTTGGTGTCTCTTAAAGCAACAGAACACTGGCTAAGACAGGACACCCGGAACTGGCATATTTTCAAATCAAATGTTCCAATTCTAAAATTCGATTTTAAGGAAACAGTTTAGAAAAATGTCCAAAGTCATACCCATACACAAAATACACGTATTATATATGTGTGTGTGTGTGTGTGTGTGTGTGTATTACATGTATGTAAGTTCTCTTATCACACCATTATTGTGGGATAAAAGGTCTCAGTTTCTGATTTGAAAACCTACCAAAACCCACAAATCCCAGAGCTTGTCCCAAGGACTTGAAATCCCACCAATCCCCATCCTGGAAATTTCCACCCTGGAAAACTTCTCCCCCAAGAAACCCTACGTAAGCCTGCCTTCTGCTCAGTTCCCTACTGCTCCTCACCCCAGCCTGGGCAGCCACCCCATTATGTCTTTCCCAATAAATCTCTTGTTTGAGGTTTATTGTGCATTGTGATTTTGTAATATTCCATGGCTCCTGGCTGCTAGGATACCTCTCCCTTCAGAGATGTAATACTTTCATTTGGGAAACCTTTCTCTTCAGAGCTGTAACACAGTTTTGGCTAGTAGAGAAATATTGTATGTAATAAATAATAATAGTAAGCATTCACACAAGCTTGCATTTAATATCAAATAATTACAAGAAAACTATTATTTACTAGTAGAGAATTGGCCAAATAAAACATATGGCTTAGAGTCAAACACAAAGCAGCTGTTAAATTATGAAGTATACTTTATCATAGAAAGATACCCAAAATACGTTTTATGGAAAAAGAAAGTTATCATACATGAATCATAGTGTTCGATTGTCTTTCAATCAATCAGAGACATGGGAAGAAACTATTACACATGTATTTGCAAATGCATATACACACGTGGATGACCAATATTTGAAACTGAAAAAAAATATTAGAAGTAGTTTTGTCTTCATGATATTGTTGTCGATACCTCTTTCATTTTCAGTCTCTGTATCTCTGGGTGCTAACAAAATAATTATTTAGCATTTAAATAAAAATGATAAGTTAATTTCTATTTGTAAAGCTTTTTTAAAAAAACAGGACAAAATAGAAGAATATGCAGGTCCAATTTAAAGTTTGCCTGATCTAGTGCTCTGTTTACTAGCAGAGCAAGAAAGCCACATAAGGACAGTGTCTACACCTAGGTACTTTGTCCAGTAGTCCAGTTGTCCTTACAGGAGGCCAGCTACTAATGTGTCTTGGAAGCAGGCTTCATGTCTAGTTCACCGTTATGAATAATATCTTAGGCTCAGAGCTGCCTTGCCTCTATGTTCTTAATCAAATAAAAGGTGGTTCTGATTCCATTTCCTCCGTTCTTGTGAAATGCCAGAAAGGGGGGTGGGAGCCTCGTTTGCCAGCACATTTTCACCCTTAAAATTGAGACAAACTAGAACATTCAAGAGAGGTAAAAATAGCACGATCACAGCGTTAGTAGAGCCCTTTCTCCTAATTGAAACATTGTCTGTGGGAGGGAGGAGAGAAGCTCACACTGCTTCCCTGGCTGGGGAAGCTCAGAAAGTTAAAAAGTCACATGGCTCCTAGCCAAGGGTTTAGAAGCAGTAACAACTGCTGGCGGAGGGGACTTTCCAGCCAGTCAAGCATCCAGCATCGAGCTCCAGGGATGTATGTAGCTGTCATGCTAGGGTGGGCTTTTATGATGCCACCGCTTGTGAGCCAAGCATACTCCTGTTAAATGAAACCTTGCCTATGCTACTGTAAATAATTCCAGTAAACTCCACTAAGGTAAACTTGGATGGGATCATCTCTTTGGTCAGCTGTTGGAACCCTATTGGAAGTAAATAGACTCTGTTCACATCTTGTCACTTAGAGTGACACCAGTGCATTGCCTGACTCTAGGCACTTTGGCATAAAATGATGCTATTAGCAGTCATGTCAGGATGGTAGGAGTAAACAGAACTGTCTCTGGCAACTGTGGGTGTCCCTCTGCCGGGACTGAATTCAGCAGAAAACACAGTTGGTGAAACTCGTGGCTTGCCGTCTGCAGCTGGTGTCCCATGTTATCTCAGCTGACCCTCACAACCCTGGCAGTCCTGACTCCACACACACACCTTTCTGAGGACAGCGAATAGGGAAGCCCTCCAAGGCACTCTTGGCAGTTCTTGTGCCGACATGCTTTTGAGTCGAGCTTGCCCACCGTTAGGCTAAGGTTCCTACTAACAGGAAGGCTTTCCTTGAATATCCAGGTAATGTTTTAAAGGCAGGTTCCCCAAGGCTGAAATTGGCCTTTATTGTGAGAATGAGGGTATTGGAGGCGGGGCAGAGCGACAGGGACAGGAAGAGAGAGACAGAGACACAGAGAGAGGCACTTTGGCCTCCATAGCAGCTCTGTGCTCTATTTATGCAGGCAGGTTGGCCACCTCCTTTACAGTGGGTGTTGGAAGGAAATGCATCTCCAAAGTTCCCATGAAGGAAGGTTTGTGTCACTGGGAAGGGAAGCCTGCTTCTGTATTTGTGCACTCTGTGAACACACGCCTAACAACAGACATCTGCTAGAGGCTCCTGTGCCTGGAAAACAGAGGGAGGATTTAATTAGCACCACTTCCTCTCCCCCAGGCTGTCTTCTCTGGAAACACTTGGGGAAGGCAGCCTGGGAGATGGAACTGTCTGAGATCCAGGAACTAAGGAAACTCTCAGCCCCATTTGCATTCTTAAAGCCATAAACCTTGGAATGTTGAGCTAAGCTTCCTGATTGGAATTGGAAAGCTCAGCAACCACCCCAAGGATATCTCCAAGGGTGGGAATAAAACTCTTTTGCAACTTCCTCACTCTAGGTAGAGGAGGGCAGGTACATGTTACGATAAAACAGGAGGCAGGGGAACCTTGGTGATTTCCATGGCAGGCTAGGGTGACCAGAGTGGGGGGATAAACACGACAGGCAGACAGAGCTTAAGTCAGAAGTTTTATTAGAAAGGGGAGGGAGCAGTCTGGTCCATAAGAGCTAGTTTCAGGACAGCTTCCAAAGCCACAGAGAAACCTTGTCTCAAAAACCAAAAGAGAGAGGGGAGGGAGGGGAGGGGAGGGGAGGGGAGGGAGGGGAGGGAGAGAGGAGGAGAGGAGAGGAGGGGAGGAGAGGAGAGGAGGAGAGGAGGAGAGGAGAGGAGGGGAGGAGGAGGGAGAGGAGGAGAGGGAGGGGAGGGAAGGAGAAGGGGAGGGGAGGAGGAGGAGGGGAGGAGCAGAGGAGAGGAGGGGAGGGAAGGAAAGGGGAGGGGAGGAGAAGAGAGGAGAGGAGGGGAGGGAAGGAGGGAGGGGAGGAGAAGAGAGGAGAGGAGGAGAGGAGGGGAGGGGAGGAGCAGAGGAGAGGAGGAAAGGGAGGGAAGGAGAAGAGAGGAGAGGAGGGAGGAGGAGGGAGGAGCAGAGGAGAGGAGGGAGGGAAGGAAAGGGAGGGAGGAGGAGAAGAGAGGAGAGGAGGGAGGAAGAGGAGGAGAGGAGGGAGGGGAGGAGAGGAGAGGAGAGGAGAGAGGAGAGGAGAGGAGGAGAGGAGAGGAGAGGAGAGAGAGAAGAGAAGAGAAGAGAAGAGAAGAGAAGAGAAGAGAAGAGAAGAGAAGAGAAGAGAAGAGAAGAGAAGAGAAGAGAAGAGACAGGAAAAGTCCTGTCTGCCCCAGGGGAACAGAGGGAAAGAGAGCAGAAGTGGGCGGAGTCTTTCTTTTAAAAGGGTCCTTTGCACTTGCACACAGACTATGCAGTCTTGGAACCCCGGGCTGACCAGCCTGAGTACATTCTGCATGGTAACAGGGGCAGGCCAGCATAATGCCTGAACCCTTTCAGTACCTATGGAAGCATCGCCGAGTGCCCTTTTATCCCCTTAGAAACACTGCAGATGCTGAAATAGTAAAAGGACCAAATCAATACCAGTAACAAATCCAGCCTCAATCAAATGACCCATTGCTTTGGCAGTGGGAATTTTACCTGGAGACGGACCTATTGAGAGCCACTTAGAACTGCGAGGATCATTGATCCTTGAGATGCACTAATACATGTATCTCAACATCGAGTGCTTGAGTAGAAGTAGCACAATACTGTGGGAGCTAAACACTCAGGGCTTAGAAAAACCGTGATGTTGCCACTGGTGGCCAAATGCTCCCCTTCTGAGGAATGTGGGTAGTGGAGATCACCTAGTAA